CAGATGGAGTACTACCATGTTTAGGCCTAAGTCAGTAACTATTGTTGATGAGATATATGAAGAATTTAAATTTAAATTGATAGATATAAATTATAGTATATTATTATATTTAGAATATAATTAAAAATAAAAAGAGTGGTGTGCCTTTTAGAGTACTAGAGACAATTGAAGAGATTAAGATGATAGGGTTAGGAATTGAAATTTTGACACTTGCAATACAGATGTCAAGACTGATGTCTCAACACAAACTACAATGTCAGGACAGATGTTATAACATCACCTTCTAACATAAACTTTTACCAAAATAAAAACTATGCAGAAATAAATTGCAGAAGGTAAAAGAACACAATCAATTGTTAACCTAGTTCGGTCCAATGTCACCTACTCTGGGGGCTACCAAGCCATGAAGGAAATTCACTATGATAGTATTAGTTCAAAACCTAAACAACCATAGTTTACAACTTATCTCCTAATCACTACATTGTGCAACTTCTAGATACCTTCTAGATATGAGATCCCCCTCTCACTTCCTACCAATTACCTCAGTGATAAAATACAGTCACAAATCAGTGACTAGAATCAAAAGAATTAAATAGAATATTACATTTCAAATGCAATATTAAACTCTTTGCTTAAAAGCTCATGAGTGAGAACAATACTTAGTTTTTCTTAAAAGCTTTAAACTAAGAACAATCAGTCAATCTCAATGTATCAAAGATACATGAGTGAAATACAAAGAAAAACACGAAAACTTTAAAAGACTCCCAAAATCCTAAACTCTTATACACCCACGATTTATTGTTGTGAATGTTTGCTATTTTAGGTTTAGTAAGTTCTTATTTATAAACTCTTGCAGAATGGGGTTTGGACTCTTCAAATCAAATCTAATTTCTTAATTTAAATCAGATGCAAGATCTTCAACAAAAATAGGAATTAATCTTCAATTTTTTCTAAAAAGTCTCAAAGATCCTTTTTAGTGAAAGTAAATCAAATTTACATTGTTCCTAATAAAATCTTCTTGACCTGCGAAAATCAGTGAGATATATTCAATAGGATCTTACAAAATCAAATCAAATATGTTTAAAAAAATAACATCAACATTTTTTGTACAATTGGCCAAGATGTCAAGGCATCTGGCTTAACATATGTCTGATATACATTACAGCAGAACCTGTCATGACAATTGGTCGATATATTATGACATCTTGCTCAACATCAGTTAAGAACCATGTTTTAACAAAATTTATGCAAATCACAAAACCATGGATCTAATAGGTATCGTCATTGTTGTAAGGGTCTTACATCAATGTGTTAACCGTCTAATGGTTCAACGCTTAAATAGATAAATGGCTGAAAATATGGACCTTTCATTGGACTTAACTCAATGCCAATAAAATATTCTAATGGACTTAATGATAGGTCATCATGAGGGGAAACATCCCTATTGGATAAAAGACTCACCAAAACAAGTGAGAGAGACACGACATATTCATCCAAAACCTCAAGGCATTGGGTATATGAGAACTCTCACTTATAAAGGGCTCAATCTCCACTTTTCCAAGAAATATGATACTTCTAACTCATACTTGTATCTCAATAATCTCCTCCCTCAAGTGTGAGTCTATCCACTATGTTCCCCCTCAAATGAAAGTTATTTCATTCATATACACTTGTACCGCAGTTGACACCCTTACCACATCACATGAGTTTCAGTGGGACACACCTCCTGGCCACCACCTTATCAAGAAGACTTTCGATACAAGGAGTCGATGCCTTACTCGAACCATCGGATATGATACCACTGATGGATCATCACGAGGGGAAGCATCCACATTGGATTAAATACTCGCCCAAACAAGTGAGAGAAAGATCATATATTTAACCAAAATCTTAAGACATTGGTTATATGAGTCTTATCACTTATAATGTCCTCAACCTTCACTTTTCTAAAAAAAAATGTGGGACTTATAAGGAGCATGTTTCTTGTGATGTCACTTGGTTAGAATTTGGATCTTCAACCTTGAGAAACATAGTTTGAAACTTTGCATACACACACAGAGTGAGTGAGAGAGAGAGAGAGAGAGAGAGAGAGAGAGAGAGAGAGAGAGAGAGAGAGAGAGAGAGAGAGAGAGAGAGAGAGAGAGAGAGAGAGAGATGGGGGAAGTGATAAAGAAGTTAATGTGGATAAAAGAGATAGATCATAGTAAATAGACTCACACTTGAATGGGAGATTATTGAGAAACAAGTATGAGTTATAAGTTCCATATTGTTTGGAAAAATGAAGTTTGAGCACTTTATAAGTGAGATGACTCATATATCCAATGTCTTAAGGATTTGGGTAAATATTTGTAGTGTCTCTTTCACTAGTTTGTATGATTTTTTATCCAATGTACATGTTTCTCATCGTGACGACCCATCACTTATATCCTTTATCCTAAAAGGAGAATCAAGAACATGTTTTATGTGATCAAACCCAGACACATGATTTCTTGCAAAGATGATATTATCAACATATATCAGCAAAGTAGTAAATTGTTTTTGCACTACTACAAAAAAAAAATTTTATCTCGAACGCGAAAGGGATTTAACCTCATTTACAGAGGCGACGTAGCGAAGGATGCCATAAAAACATAATTATAAAATTGAGGGGTAAAGTGTTTTTCACATGGGTTCGATCCCCATCTTCAACTCTATGTGACGCAGGTCTTTTTTGTCACTTCACCATGTCATATCCATTCTGTGTAATTTTGAATAATTTTATCACAACCATAATGATTTAATATAACAACCCTTGGATGTTTTTGTGTGTTTCGGAAAATTTTACAAAGACGCCAAAAAATCTCATTATTGTTAGGAAAGTTTTTTCCCGCTAATTCAAGAAATTGAATCAATCCATTCTCATACTCTTTACTTAATCTATTGGCTCTCACTCAACTACGATTCATAATAATATAGAACTTCTGAAAGTAAAATAAAAATGAGCATTTCAAAATAATACAACAACTACAATAGACTACAACAACTACAAATACCTAAAAAACATTGTACATTATATCCTAAGTCTCAAAAACCATGACAACAACAACAATAACAACGACGACAACAACAACAACAACAACGACGACAACAACAACAACAACAACATACACATGAGAGAGTTTTACATACCGGAAACATGAAGAAAAATGTTGATTTGAGATTTGAGCTTCTTTACTTAAAGAAGATGGTGTTTCAGTTTGTTAGGTGGAGAGAATGGTGTTTCAGTTGAAGAAATGTTTTAGGGCATAAAAATGAATGAATGAAACTTAACATTATGATGAGTGAGATAAAATATTAATTAAACTTAACATCTCGGTTTTCAGAAAAACTGAGGTAACTAATTGAGGTAAAAACTGTGTTGATATATTTAAATATAATCTTAATAAATTTTTAATATCGGTTTTCTAAAAATCCGAGGTATAAAATGATTTATAAAATAAAGGTAAAATTTTAGTTTTAAATAAAGCATAAATTTAAAGGAGTTGAGAATCAAAACTCAAACTCTAATCTGTCGATTTTCTAAAAAACTAAGGGATTAGATGAAACTTTTTTTTTTTAAAATGACGCGTATCAGGTCATTTGACCTCGGATATTTCTTTGAGTGAGATGAAAACTTCATTATAAAATATATTATTTGTAGTAGTAGTATTAGTTAAAATTAGTAAACAGTGAGTGGTCAATTTTTGTTTGTGAGCATCCTTTATGCACAAGAAGAGGTGTAAGTTTCTGATACCATTTTTCTTTGGCTGACCATAAAATAACTTTTGTAATATGCATATTTGATTTGGTTTGGTGTTGTTCACCCCCTCAACCTCGAGCATGCACACATCTTGTAATTTTTGATGGAGAAAGACATTATTTACATTTGAGGCAAGTGTTTAAATAGTCCAAACCTTCTAGCCTTTGGACGCCATTATGACCTTGAATCATTCAATATCTCTATATGATTTGTTTTTTCCCATTTATTCCCAATTGGTCGAACATTTTGTGGTAAATCAACAAAGTCCATGTGCCATTATTCTGTAGAGGTGGAGATGGACATTGAAATACGATACTGAAAAGCTGTTAGATTAGCATAAGATATGAAGGAAGAAATATAATAAGGAATACACAAGTTAGAAAGGTTCGATGTTATTTTTAAAGTATTAGAGTTAAAGTCAATCTTTACAAGATATGTCAATTTATACTAATTAGTCATCATGTAAAAACTAGACAGAAAAAATGCATACAATGAGGGAAAAAACGTGGCCTAATTTTCTCTGGTTTTTTTCCTGATCAAATAAATATTGTTTCACTCAAATTGGTTCACCTATTTTAATTTCTCTATCTTTTTCCTGATCAGGTATTAATTCACTCAAATTGGTTCACCTATTTTATTAAAGGAATTCACTTAAAGTAATTCTAACTAGTAACTTCTCATATTTATCAACAATAGCAAAACTAACTTCTCAAAAGTCAAAATTTAACTTCACATTTTCAATTTTGTCAAATTCTTGTAAAATTTAATTCACATCTTCAATTTTGTCGAGAATTCTTGTAGCATAGCACTTTCCTCCAATGAACTATCATCATCTACATTAATCCGAGATTAAATACATGATTAAATTTATATATAGAGATATATATAGTTTGAAGGAACCACCAAAAAAATACTTGTAATCAAAATAGAATGGAGGAAAACATCAGACTCAATTTGCCAAATGCAATAGAATAGAAACTTTGTTAGTTTCCTTTATTAATAGAAACACTCTTAGTTCTTCCCAAGTTAAAAAACATAGCTAGGCAGTATTACAAATACAACACAATACACAACATAAAGCTAACTACTAGCTAATAATTTCATGCCCACCACCACATCATGCCCAACAACAGAGTAGAACTCATTGATAATTATATAGAAAAATAGAATAAAAAAGAAAAAGAACAAAGGTATCATTTGTTGAGTTATTCTCCAAAGTTTTTCAGAGTAGACCAGTGGAAAGAGTGGAAAGAGGAGAGGTGAGAGGAGGCTGAGATCTGATCCTACTCTTTCTTAGCCTTTCAGCAATGATGAAAGCAAGCTCGAGTGATTGAGAAGCATTGAGTCTTGGATCGCAGTGTGTGTGGTAGCGTGAGCTAAGGTCGTCGAATGTGACAGTTCTCGACCCACCAATGCACTCTGTCACGTTTTGACCCGTCATCTCTAGATGAACTCCTCCCGGGAAGCTTCCTTCTTGCTCATGGACATCGAAGAATGCCCTCACTTCAGCCTGTTCAATTAATTCAGTGAAACAAAAGTTAATGAGTGACATTATTGGTAAAATCACAATCTAAACTTCAAATATTGGAATAAAGTTGCACAAAATGAAATTATGTCTCTTTCCATATGTTGGTAAAGAATAAGCATTCACACCCATATGGGTCCCCAAAGTCCATTCTCACCCACCCAAAAGAATTGCAACTTAGCATCATTCAGGAATATACCTTCAACTTAGTAACTAAAATATCACTCTCTCAAATGTACTCCTTAAAGCATATGAAAAATAATATACTTTTTAAGAAAACATATTAAAAGATTCAAAATAACACAAATAATTTCTTGAATACTTAACTATTTCACCTACTTCTACATGTGGCCATTTACTCACCTACCAGCTCATACACGTTTGTCAATTTAAACAAGATTCACTTGCTCCCCACTAATCTTTTTCAATGTCATTTCTTATTTTAAGTGCAACTTACTTTTAATACAAGGCATGATATTTATTTCCACCAAAGATTATGGCCACGAGAATGAAACAGTTCCATTTTCAGCTGACCGTGACGGCGACGGTAACATGTAACCAACTACAAAAGAAAGAGTGAGAAGAATTATTACATACCCTGATGGCATCGAAAGGACGAGTTTTGAGACCACATGGAGCCTTTATGGTGTTTCCATGCATAGGGTCACTGACCCATGTGACAATTTGTCCTGCTCTACGCACAGCCCGGATCAGATGTGGAAGCTTCACCCTCATATTTTCAGCTCCCATTCTAGTGATTACAGTAATTCTCCCTGGTTTGTTTTGGGGATTCAAGATCTCAATCAGTTTCACAAGCTCATTTGGATCCATCTTGTCACTTACCTGCAAAATTAACAAGAGATTATGCTTAGGGATTCAATTTTCTTGCTCAAGCTTATGATTTCCCAACATTAAATTTTGGACTTATTTTTTATAATGCCATGTCAAATAATGAGGTGATAAATCACTTAGTAATGTGACACCGCTAAGAGATTATGCAAGGTCGCATGATAAGAATAATGTCCAAACCTTGATTCCCAAGGGATTAGCAACTCCTCTAAGAAACTCAACATGAGCACCATCCAGCTGTCGGGTCCTTTCACCGACCCAAATCATATGGGCTGAGCAGTCATAATGGAGGCCCGAAGTTGAATCCAACCTAGTGAGTGATTGTTCATATGGCAACAACAAGCACTCGTGTGAAGTCCAGAAATCAGTTGTTCTCATGATTGGATGGTCGACAGTGAGACCAGCAGCAGCCATGAATCCAAGGGCCTCGTCAACACGATTAGCAAGCTCTCGGTACCTGCAACACCAAAAACATGTTTAATTTACTCCCAATCTGCATATAGAGTATATATCAAACATTAACATAACTAGACCATTTTAAAAAGAGGGAAAGAGTGGCGGCTTCATGTAACTCAAATTGATTGAACATACTTTTTTTCAAGGAAATTATGACACTCACAGGTCAACATCATCATTGGAGAGAAAAACAACAACCCCATTAAACATGTGCCCCCACTTATCATATCAACCATCACTTAACAATTTTAATTCCATCCGTGAAACCAAAAAAAAACCACTTAAAAACAAAATACTACTGTATTGTTTTCATCCATACAAATCTTTCCGGTGGTATATTCTCTAAAAAAAAAAAACGTGATTAATGCTTTGAGATACTGACAAAATATCTTAGCTATTCAACAAACCTAAATAATAGATCTCCTTTACACTGAAGCAAAAAAATAGCTTAATCACTTACCATCTATAAAGCACAGACACAGATATGGACATCAAACACAACACCACCGACATTAACACGTCAATACCGATAATAATTTGAAAATAAATAAATAAATCGAACATAATCACAAATATTGGTGTCACTGTCAGGCGCTTACATGGTCGCGCCTTTTTTCAAAGGTGTCGGTGATCCAGAGTTAACCATGCATCACATATAATTTCAAATGGACAACAAACTAACAGATGAAAGCAGTAAAATCTTCACAAAAATTCAACCCCGTAACAACAAATAGAAGACCAACATGAATTACATAACCAGAAACAGAAAAATAGATCACAAACTCCATGAAAGACAGTGACAAAGTCTGAATATACCTGTCTCCTTGTTCACTAAGTTCAGTGAAATCCAAGTTCCACTGAGTAACCCTCTGCATAGCAGCATAACCACCAGTAGCAAAGGCTCTGAGAAGATTCAGAGTAGCTGCAGCTTGACAATAAGCCCGAATCATTCTCTGTGGATCCGGTGTCCTTGATTTCAAATCAAAGGCATCACCGTTGATGTTATCCCCTCTGTAACTAGGAAGCTTAACACCATCCTTCTCCTCAAAGGAATCCGATCTCGGCTTCGCAAATTGCCCGGCCATTCTACCCACCTAAAAAAACCATCACCAAAAGGTTACATATGAGTCTCGGATCCAAATTACAATAGCATATGACTCAATCTTTGATCATCAACAATAATAATCATAATAATCATATAACTAAAATGTTGGACTTTAATTATTTCTATCAAAAATGTTTACCTTAATGACCGGAACTTGACCTCCGAACATCATGACAACACTCATCTGAAGGATAATTCTGAAAGTATCACGAATGTTGTTAGCATTAAACTCTTTGAAGCTCTCAGCACAATCACCGCCTTGAAGAAGAAACGCGTTCCCCATAGCAGCATCTCCCAAATGTTCCTCCAAAGTTCTCGCTTCTCCGGCGAAGACAATCGGAGGGAAATCATCGAGAGTCTTGAGAACAGCGTGGAGTTCTTCCTGGTTAGGGTAATCAGGAAGTTGAAGAGCCTTCTTGGATTTCCAGCTGTCGATTGTCCATTTTCCGGAGTTTATGTTCCGGGGAATGGTGGTTGGTTGGGGTTTGGTGGGCTTTTCGGCTACCGCGGGGTTTTTGGCGGGCTCGGCGGCATGGACGGCGAGGATTGAGCGGGAGTGGTTGGGCTTGAGAGTGGGGATGGGCTTGAGCCCGATTGGGAATGAGGAGGAGGAGGAGGCGGATGGGTTTGGGATTAGTGACTTGGTGGGAATGAGAGAGGAGGAAGCTGAAGAGACAGACATTTTGTTTTGTTAATGTTATGATGTTTTTGAATGTCACGCTTTGAGAGAGAGAGGCGTGAAGTGAAGAAGGTGGTTGAGGCTGAGGAGGTTTTTATAGGAAGAAAGGTTTTTAGGGGTTGTTGTGGTGGTAGTTGAGGAAGGGTATTTTGGGGAGTGTGGTGTGGTTTACAAACGGCAACGAAGACAAATTCATTGTTTTTTTTTTTTTTTTTGAACTAGATTCATTCATCAATTTAATTATTACATTGAATGTGTTGGTATTATTTTTAGTACAATAATTAAATTTTGGTTTGGTGTGCTTCACCTACTTGATAATTGTCAGTACTTGGCGTGTATGAGCTGCACCGAGGCTTGGAATTAAGCCACGGCTGCTTTTTTTTACTATAAAGAAAGATTACTGTATTAATAACTACTATATTAATAAATATTTTTTGTGCGTAATAAATCAATATAATATTTGAAGGAAGGATGACAATTTGACTATCTCCGTAGAGAATTCAAAAAAAAATATCTTCAACTAATAGGGTAAAGACCATAAAAAATGGGTATCGATTTGAGTACAACAAGTAATTAGTTGGATTTATATAAATAAATGATATAAACGTGGGTATGGACACAATAAGTGGACATAAATCACTCAAGATCTTCTCCATTTCTATAAAGAAATAAAGAATATTATTATTAATATTTTCATTATATAAAAACTAAATTATATTAAATATGTATCCTACATTTCAATAATATAAATATATTATTTTCTAATATTTTAGTAAAGACACTTTCCATTTCTTTAAAAAAATGGAAAATATTATAACTCAATATAGATGTGATGAACAATTTTGTATTCACTTTGTCTCATACATATATAATATTTATATATTTTATATTATATTATTATACAAAAATATATGTTTGTCAATTTAAAAAAAATTATACATTGTTAAATTATTATATATTTATTATAAATGTTCGTTTAATTTATCATTCAATAATAATTTTTTGAAAACAATTTAGTATTTTTTAAGTTTTAAAATAATATAATATATTATAATTAATCTATTTATTTTTATTTAAAATACAAATAATAATATAAGTATGATTGTTAATTTTGGTATCAAACAAATATAAATTCGAATATAGAATATTTTTTAATAGCAGATATGAGAATGGATATTACAATACTTTATTCAAACTCTAAATATTATATCGCTGATTCAAACTCTAAATATTATATCGCTGATTCAAGATAGATTGATATAAATAGTTACAAAAATATAATTTTGTATTAATATAAATAATAGATAAGTTTAAGATATATATATATATATATATATATATATATATATATATATATATATATATATATATATATATATATATATATATATATATATATATATATATATATATATATATATATATATATATATATATATATATTAAACTTCTGATAAATATATTTTGGTGTGTAATAAATCAATATAATGTTAAATAAAATGGAATGGTTTGAGTACTAGTGACAAATCGGGTATGGAGATGTTGGAAATACTAGTCGTATACATTTAATCTGATCTATTAGGCTTTAGACTTTTTTTTAATAGTCTAAGTCCAACCTATTTAAATAAATAGATTTTTTAAAAGCTTAAACTTAAAAGTTGGAGTAATTACTTTATATTGTTTAAAATTTATTCACGTAAAACAAAAATAGAAATTAAATCAATGAAATACTTTTGGAAATTGGAGGGTCTTATTCAAAATCTGAGTCCCTAAAAAAAATTAGAAATCCAACTCAAATAAAGAGAGCGGTAAATTGAAAAGGTACCCCCTCATTCACAAAACTAGGAAGTCACGTCAATTAAAGAAGCTAAAATGTTTATCCATCGAAGCTTCAACGGTTCATTCAAAAATAAATGAATAATCAATTTATCATTTAATTATTTTATCTTGTTTACAATGCTTTGGTGATATATGTAATACTATAAATCAACTATTTTTTTTCTTTTGAATTATTTTGAGTGCTAAAAATATATGTTTCTTTTGATTCATCCATTATATAGCACAAACGTTATGTCTATGTCATCTCTCTGAAAATCTATTGTTTTGTTTTGTTTTGGCTTTGTTATGAGCTCGAGTGAATCGAATATACAATGATGTGTATCTTCAATGATAAGTTTTATACAATTCTAATCCTAATATAATTTCATAGTTGATTTTAATTATTTTTCGCCAATCTAAATTTCTCTTTCCATAATTTTGATTTAAACCCTTGTGAATGAATTAATGAATGTCTAATTCAATCACTATCAATTAGTAGGTTCCATTTTTTCAAATCTGTCCATAAAAGGATATTTAGTGAAAAAGTAAAATAGAAATAAGATCTATTATTGTGTTTAATTTAAAAATTTATGAGGAGTTGAATGATCACACTCATTAAATTTATTTTGCAATGCAAATTTTAGTGCAAAATTTTGTATGTATGCTAAATGTATGAGTGTATGTTTAAATGTTAAATGTATGTTGAATTATAGTGCATAACTATATGTGTATGTTAGATGTATGTGTATGTTGAATGTTAAATGAATGCTAAATTATGGTGCAGAATTATGTGTGTGTGCTAAATATTTTCTTAATTATATGTGTATGCTAAATATATAATTTTTATCTACTTGTTTTTTCTTAATTGCGTGTTTTATTCGTTGTCTTTTCTTTTTTATTTTATTACAAATTACATAGTATGATAATTGTTATAAGTTATTTTTTTCTATAGTACTCGAAATACTTCATATATAATATTTCTAAGCACACTACAATATTTATCGCTTCTAGCAACATTTTTTTAATGCAACATGTATAAGTTATTGTCTAAAAAAAGATTAGTACTACTACAAAAAGCATATTTTATAACCATTTCTTATTATGGCCACCTAACCAACCGAAATAATATATTTTCATTAGACATCTTTCATTTTTAAAAAATAATAATTAAATACTTTTCACCACAATCAAAATTAACAATCATTATGATATGTTAAGAGTGACACGCTTCGAAATCTAACATTTGCAATTTCATGTTTTTCGTTAGAAAAATGGTGGGTTCCCTTAATTTCTATTTTAAAATAAAAATTAAATACTTTTCACCACTGTGCAGATTAACAACTATGGTGAAATATTAAGTTAAATCATCACGGTTATTTTTAATAGCCGTTGTGAAATGTATTACATATATAAGCTAACTTAATTTAGTTTAGAACAGACTGCGTTATAAGTGAAACCCTAACTTCTCTCGTTTTATTATAATCTCTGAAAGCTATATCCTAACTTTAAAAACTCCAACATAACCTATCAAACTGGTATGAATCAAGGAAATGTATTACGAAACATGTAGCTAGCTCATATCTTTGTTTTCCTTTTTCACAATTTCAAGGAAAGGTACACACGTGAAACCTTTTAAGTGTTATGATATCATATTGTTGTTGTTCAAAATATTAGTCTTATTTTTTTTCTTATTCAAAAGTCACGCCAAATATTTGTCTTCATCCAACATAGAGTTTATTCTTTTCTTGTTATTAAGATGAGATTATAGGTTTAAATTATTGTTTTTGTTGAGATAAGTAAAGGGTTTAAGTTATTGTTGAGGTATGAGATTGTTTTTTAAAGCAAGTTGTTGTTTATGTTAAGGTAAGTTTATGGTTTGTTTATAAATGTTGTTGTTTATGTTATTTTAGATTATTTTTTAAGTATGTTGATGTGGTTGGTGAGGTATTTTGTTGTTTTGTTAGATATTGTTGTATATTTTTTATAAATGTTGTTGTTTGTTTTAGTTTATATATTTTTTGTTGAAGTATGTTGATATTTTTGTTTAGCTATGTTGATAAACGTTGTTGTTGAGGTATGTTTGATAAATGTTGTTGTTTGTGTTATTATATGATGTGCTTGTATAGATGTGTTATTGTTTATGTTATTGTTTATGATATTGTTAACGTTATTAGTTATACAATACAATTATCATTTTGTTCAACTAACATATTGTAGAAGATAAGTTTATTATATTGTATATAGTTTTAGTGTTTTACCAATTGAATTAGATAATAATAATATGAAAATTTTAGTTATTGTTAGAAAACAACTTACATTAATTAATGTTTTACGAGCTTTCTTCAGTTCGATATTTGTATCTCGCTCTTGGAGTGTTAGAATCATGTTTAATGTTTGCAGTTCTTCAATTAACACTTCATTTTTTACTAGTTCATTCTGCAAAGTATTGCGTGAGAATATGGTGTTAGAAAACAGTCTAGGAGGTGAATAAACTTTTAAAAACAATATCAATTGATTCTTTAAATGAGAATAACTAGAGGTTCCTCACATTGGTTATGAACTAAAGTGATTCAAAATTGAACAAAAATTATAAAAGAATAAATATCATTTAAGTTGTACAAAGCCTAAGGTTCATAAACATATGTTATGTTATAGAAAATAAATAAACACAAACCTTAACAATGCAACTCTCTTTTAACTTTTCACATTACCATAACATTTTCTTGTTGAGACAATCAAACTCGGACAATCACAAAATGCGACCTCAAGCTAATCAAAACAAAACTTTAGAACAAACACAAAATGTATTTCTAACAACCTACCAAACTTGAATTAAAACTAACTAAACACAAATAATATAAACCAAAATTGTTGGGTTGCCTCCCAACCAACACTTATTTCACGTTGTAAGCTCGACGTCTTTATTGTGTTTGGCTAGTAACTTCCTCTTTGACATGCCAATGTTTTGCCTCAAGCGCAAACCTAAAGAAAGTGTCCTAACTAAACACTTAAACAAACATTACGGGAACAAAAATATATACACCACTTAAACAAACATAATGGAAAACAAAAGCAAAACAAGTATGAACAAGTATAAAACACAAATATAAACAAGTATGAAAAACAATTCTATACAAGTATGGGGAACAAAAGCAAAACAAGTATCTATACAAGCATATACAATA